TTTCCCCGACTCCTGTGTGCTGGCTAAGTCTTCATTTCACAAAAGGCATTATCATTATATTGATTATATTCCCATCTTAGAGATGTGGAAACTGAGGCTCTATGTCATCTAACCCAAGGTCAAACAGTAGATGCCTGGAAGGACCTGATTTTGTCCTCAGAGGCTGTCACTGTCCACCTGTGAGTTAGAGGGGAGACAGAGCCCCAGGGCACCCTCCTGAGCAACAAGCAGGATGGAGAGGAGAACCTGGAGTCAGGCTGGAGGAAGTAGGTTCAGCAGCACCCCACATACACACCCCATCCCACAGAAGAAGACCATCAGGACGGTCCCAGGTGGGTATCCACCAAGTTGGGAGCAAAGTCCCCCACTTCATGCCAGGGTTTCAGTCCACTGGTGCACACCGCGGAAAGTGGCCCTTCCGGAACATGGCCAGTCCGGGGTGCTAAGTGAGGAGGCTCTCCAGGTTTTAACCGAGGGCTGAGGGGGCAGGGATGGTGACGTTGGGTAGGATGGGGGACAGGGACTCAGGGGCAGCACCACTGTTCCCAGGTAGGGCAGGGGCTGCCGAGGGTCGAGGGCAAGTGGCAACCGCTCTGGAGACCAGGCTCAGGTGAGGCAGTGAAGGAGGAAGGAAGAGGGGTAGAAGTGCTGGGGAAGAGGCAGCTCCGAGAGGAGAGATTGTGCTGGTTGCGGTAGTGACTCCGAGGGCACAGCTGGACCCCGACCCCGGTCGGCTCTGCCTGGCAGGGCCAGCACCGGATCCACCACCAAGTTCTTCCAACTTTGCCCGCTGCGCTGAGATCGCGCACGGGGCCCGGGGCGCACCCAGAGCCCGGACGCACGCAGAATATACGAGGTTGCCCAGAGACTCGAGGTAACGGGGCCTGCGCTTTGCCCTGGTGGCCGGGGTCCCACGCCCCCCGGCTCGGCGCCCGATCGCGCTCCGACGCGGGCTCCACGCTTACCTGCCCGGCCCCGCCGCCGTTCCGGTGCTGCGCCCGCCGCCGCTACCACCGCCGCCGCCGTCCTTCAGGCTCTAACTTCGCTCCCAGGATTGAAATTCCTCCCCAGCTTCGCCCATCGATCTGCGTGCGCCCCGCCCCTCGCCGCGCGGCCGGGGGGGAATTCGCTCTCGCCGCCCTCCCCCCGCCGCCCGCCCTCGCTCGCCCGCGCTCCTCCACCCCCTTTCCGCGGCTCGAGTCCGGCTCCGCGCCGCGCACCCTCCGCTCCCTCCCCCGCCTCCCCAACCCCTCTGCTCTCGCGCTCCTTCTCTCCGCCGGAGCCAGGGCTCGCGCTGCACGGACAAGCTGGGGGGTGTTAGGAAGCACAGGGGGTGGGCATCCTCGCGGTCCCTCCCACCCAAATAGAGGGGGCGGCAGTTGTTGCCTGAACGAGCCTCGCATGACCCCCACCACTTAAAGCAAAGCCAAGGCTTTCTCAGGACCCTGGTACTCCCCTGGGTCGGGCTCAAATCTCAGAGGGCTGGAACCTAGGGGCCCAGAACCCAGGGAACAGAGAGGGCTATCTCCCCGTCCCAGCCCTGGCCCCCTCCTTCCCTCACTCACCCCAACCTCTGGGATGACTTGGGGGGAGGGCTCTCGAGTACTCCTTCAGCTCGGTCTGACACAAACTGCGTGAGCCGAAGCCCCCCAGTCCGCGTGTTACAGGAGGGGAAACTGAGGCAGGGGGCGTTCCAGAGGGTTACGCCAAGCCACCCAGGGCATCCGAGGCAGAGCCCCAAGGATAGCAGGGACCCTCAAGACCGAGCCCTTCGGACTTCTCACCCTGCCGGCATGCCTAGACAGTGCTCTGGACAAGTCCGATTCGCCCCACGCACGCCTCAGCCGCTCTGATCCCCTCCGTGGTCCTCGCTGGGGGCCCCCTCCCCGTTTCCCGTCCCCCGCCCGCTTCTGATTCCCGGCCTCAGTACCCCCGGCACGCTTTCGCTCCTCGCCAGCAGCTGGGCAATTCACCGAGCATACAAAAGAGTTGACTCAATTCAAAGGCAGCAAATCAAGATAAATCCTATCGTGTGTGGGGACCGGAGAAGGAATGTGAATGAACGCCCACAGCACCAGCCAGTGCTATATGGACTAGCCTGGCCCCGGGGGTGGCTGGGGGCGGCAGGCCCCGACCTGACCTGAGTATGCAGGGTTTTCCAGGAGCCTCAATGGGGATAGTGGGCTTTGACCTGCCTTCTCCCTGCCAGGACTTTAGAGCACTGGATGGAATTTAGGCATTTAGGGCTTTGTGGCCTCCTTCTGCCAGGTGGGTGGGGCTCTGATGGGGGGGGGGGCTTGGACAAAAACCATTGTGCCCCCACAGTTATATGTGAGTCCCGGGGTCTGTCATGGAAATACACCCAGGGTTGGTGGAGCAGAGACAAGGGCAGCAGGGCCTTTGGGGGGCATCTCAGCTCTAGTCTTTCTCCTTCAGCTACCCAGAATCTGGACTCCAGTCACAGCCAGGCCCCAGGCCAAGGGCAGGCCCTTGCTTATCTACCAAACAGACACTGGAAGCCTGTGATGTGCCAGACCTGCGCCCACGGATACTGGGGTGGGAAGCAAGGGGGCATCCTTTTCTCCCTGCCAAGTCTAAGAGGCCTCCCCAGTTGCAGTTCCACCTGGGGAAAAGGTGAACATCCTCCAAAGTCTCCCTGGTCACTCTTGCAAGGTTCTTGGGACTGGCCAGCCCTGTGAAGCAAATGAATAAGATCGACCAGAGGCAGGGCCTCATCATCAACCGGCCAAAGGCAAACCTCTGAGAGAAATACCCTGCTCCCCAGTTCTGGCAAGGCTTCCCCCAGGCCTGTGCTGGCAAAGCACAGTTGGGGATCTGGAAGGAGCCCATGGGTTTTTGATGGGCGTCTCCTATGTGCCAGGGACTGTGTTGGGCGCCTGACCGGTGCTACACCACGACCTCCCTTATACGCAGCAAAGGCACTGTGAGCCGGTTTCCACCGAGTACAAGGGAGGCAGAGGTTCCAGGGTGCTCTTGACCTGTACTGCTGGAACCCCAGGCAAATACGTGGCCACTCAGGGTGAGAGATGAGGGGCGCGGCACTAGAGGTCAGCTGCAGAGGCGAGTAGGGGTCCCGGAGGGAGGGTCCGGACCCCCGCCGAAGCGGAGGGCCCAGCTTGGGGTGGGGGGCGGTGCGGGATTGGAGGTGGGGCTGACCCACAGGGGTCGGATCCTGTGTTCCCACCCCCAGACAGAGACTGCGACCGAGTCCCGGGAGTCCCGCCATGCCACCCCTCCCCCGTAGCCGCGCGGATGGGCGGATGGGAGGCCTGAGTATAAGTCATTAATTCTGTTACCGAGGCGCCAGAGGACATCTGTCAGGGGCCCAACACCTCGCTCCACGCCCCCCTGCTCTTCCCCTAGACTCAGAGCAGCGGAAAGGATGCGACACTTAGCTTACCAAGCTGAGACTGCTGGCGCCCGCACGCGAGCGCTGGAGGGCGTCAGGGTCCGCGAGTTAACTGGGAGGGGGGCGGGGCCGGCTACCAGCCCTGGGGACAAAGATCCCCGAGCTGTTTGGGTACTTGGCTCTGCAGACCCCGAGACCGAAAGAAGTATCCCTTACTACTTGTCCCCCAAATCCTAGAACCCACTAGAGTTCTGACCTGAGTGTTGGGTGGGGTGTGGGTGGAAGCATCGGAACCTTCTTGGGCCCTTAGGCTGCGCGAAGGCTACGCTGGTCCGGGCGACATTAAGACTTGCCGCCTTCCTACACATGTAACTGTAGCTACACCCCCAAAATCCTTCCAGCAGCTTCTCAGGTCCCCTCTACTCTCCTTAGCCCCTTCGGCTGCCCCCGTAGACCCCTCCCCAGGCCCCTTAGATGAGTTGGCTGTGACCCTTCAGGGCAGGTGAATGTGTTTGGCCTGGGTGGTGGGTGGGAGGACCCGAGACTGGTTACTGGGGATCCCCGCTTTTCCCTGGCAGGTTGGCCTCAGGGCCTCACACCTATCCAGCGGAGGACTCAGTTGGAACGGTGCTCGGATGGCGCGAGTCCGCCCGGGCCCCTGACGGGTGGCCACAGTCCAAAACGTACAGTTTGGGAAGAGAAAAAGTTAGGGGGCGACACCCCGAGATACGAGAGGAGAGAGTGGGAGGAGAACAGAGGGTGAGGAAGAAGGAAGGACAGAGTGAGGAACATAGAGAGGGGTCACTCTGGCTGGGGTCTCACCCCAACCAGCAGCCAAGTCCACCGCGCCGACCTCCCGGGACCGAGGCACTGGCGCCTATTAATAGCCGCGAGCCTGGCCTTTCCTGCTAGCTCGGCGACCGCCGGCAGAACCCGGCAACCGGGCTGGGGTGGGGGTGCGGGTCCTGCAATACCCTTCTCAGAGCTTCAGCAGCGCGGGGCCAGCCGCTGCTCGCTCCTAGCCCGCAGCGTGAAGGCTGGACTCCCAAACCCACTCCCTCTTCACCTCCGATTATGAGACCATTTCAGATTTCGGGGAGACAGTCTCTGGGCCAACTTGGGGAGCCGCGGCTATGCCTGTGCACTCAAAAGCAAGAACACACACCCTTCCCCATCTCCCTACTCCGCCCACCTTTCCGCTCTCAGAGCTCTCAGCAAAGTTTCGGGGTCCCTGCGGCACCTCCTAGCCCGAGGGGTACCAAGCCCTGGCTCTTCGAGCCATCTCGTCGGGGAGGGAAGTTTGTAAGCCCGGAGCTCGGCGACCGAGAACTTCAGGTGCGCCTGCCTTCGAACCCGGAGGGTGGGTGGGGGGCGCCCGCGAGCCACGGACTAAAAGCGCTGCATCCAAAGCCCTACAGGCGGGGGGACTCAGCCCCCGCTCGGACGCCCTGGGCAGGGCAAAGGGGCTGGGGCAGCCAGGGCAGCGAGAGCCGCTGAGGACCCCGCGCTGCCACCAGGAGAGCATCTTCCCCGCCCCCCAGGGGCAGGGACCTGTCGACCCCGCAGCTGCGGCAGAGTGGGCCCTCTCCCCCAGCCCGGGGCAGCCTCCTCCCCACAGGCCCCTTCCTACCTGAACCAGGGTGTGGGTTGGGGGCTTGAGGCACGGTCACCGGCGAGCACAACGCGCGCGCCCAGGTCCGCTGAGCGGGGTGGCGGCGGCTTCCCCTGCTTCCTCCTCCTCTTCCTCCTCGGGGTTCGCTGGCTCCAGACAGACCTCCTCCCCCTCCCGTCCTGCCCGCCCCTCCCGGAGCCCGCCGGGCTGGGCTCGGCCTGCGACGGGGAGCCGAGAGGAGCCGGCGGGAGCCGGGCTGCGGCGCTCACTGCGTCAAGCGCGGGGCGAGCGCCGGGCGGCGGCGAGGACCGCGCGCTTGGAGCCCAGGGCCGGCTGGGCAGGCGGGGCAGCGGCGGCGCCAGCAACGCCGATGGGCCGGGCGGCTCCGGCTCCCGCTCCGGCTCCGGCGCGGTGGCGGCGGCCAAGGCAGCGCTGAGGTTGTAGCACATTCTTTCTGAGTGTGAGGAAGGTTTAATGTAGGAGTCCGCGCGGGGAGGGCTGGAGGAGAGGGCGGGGGCCGGGGGACCGCCGGAGGGGCGGGCGGCGGGTGTCGCTGTCCTCACGTCGGTGGACGGAGGGGGTTGTCCGGAGGGGGACACGGAGGGGAAGTTGCAGCGAGCCGTGGGGAGGGCGTGAGAAGCCGCGAGGCACCCGAGCCCCCTCCTCCCCGCCCGCTCTGCGGCCCCCTAACCCCGCCCCAGGCCACCAGCCGCTCCGAGGCTTCCCGGTGGAGCCCAAGCCCCCGAATGTCTAGGGGTTGGGACCCTTCGTGTCAATGGGAGGTGGATACGTGAGGCGGGGACGTGCACGCGCTTGCGGACACGGCTGTGCACACACACACACACACACACACACACACCGGGAACCGCGTGGAAGTTGACCAGAAGTCAGCCCCCGTGTGGGCGCGCGCGTCCGTGAGTGTCAATGCACGGCCTTCAGGGGCGCGCGTTTCGTGGAGTGGGGAGGGCTGGGCACATCCTGAGGGTGGGGAGGTGGGGCGAGAACGTAGTCAGGTCCCCCGAGGCCCAATACCCTCAGGGACTAGCTCTCCCCCAAGGTCGCCGACCCCCTCCCACTGTCCCTCCTCTCCTCCTCGCTCGTCCCCACCCCCTCTCAGCTGGGAGAAGGGGGCGCGTGAGATCAGCCTGACACCTTCCGATTCCCGGAAGATTCTGTTTAGCGGATTTCCCTCCCACCGATCCTCCCTGCTTTTCTTTTGCCTCGGATTCCCGAGGATCGGAAATCGCTCCCTGGGGTTCTAAGCCCAGGTGCCCTCTAGCTCTCCCAGAGCACTCTCCAAGCGGCCACGTAGTCTCCCAGGGCGGCTCCCACTCCCCACCGCCCCTTCCTCAGCCGGCAGCTTTGGCGTTGGGTTAAAATTCCAAATCAGGCTCAGGAGCGCCCTCGCGGGGTACCGCCTGCGCGCAGCTTCCCGAGCCCCGAGTACGAAGCTGCGGAACCCGGGACCCCGCCGGCATCTCCGGCGCGACCCTCCGAACGCCGCGCCCAGCCCGGCGGGGGCCAGGTTACCCGGAACAACCCTGCAAAGGCTCCGAGAGGCGGCGGCCAGGGCTGTGTGCTGGAGTGCACGCTCTAAAGGGCAGGAGGCTGCCGGGGGTGATGGGGGGCTACCGCCTGGGGCTTCCCTCCTGGGGGGGGCCCGGGACAGGCGTGGGAGTGGCGCGGGAAGCTTTCAGAAGCGCTACCAGAGCGCCGGGGATGGGCGCGTGTGAGCTCCAGTCCAGGGGCCGATCCGGAGACCGCCCCGCAGCCCATAAACTCCGTCCGGCCTGCGGCTCCTCGGGCTGCCCAAGTCCCCGCACCAGACCTTGCGCCTCGCCAGTCCCTTCATTCCTGCAAGACCGGGGGAACGCGACCCCAACCAGGACCAGGGGGTGGAGGAGGGTTCACCACATTTCCCCTGGATCATCCCCGAAGGGTGATGATCAAGGACGGAGCCACTGCCTGAGGGCTGTCCCATCCTTATCCAGACGCAGGGGCACAGACCTCCAGGGAAAGGGGACCTGGAGGCCGCAGAGCCTGGTCTCGGGGTCTCTCTGACCAGGTCCTTCGTAGAGTGGCCTGACCCTCTGTGGCCTGGAGTAGCCTGGATGGGTTCAGGGCTCTTTTCTCACTTTCCCCTCCCAAATCGCCACCCACCGGGCTCCCCAGAAGGGAACTGTCCAGGACTTCCTGGATGTCCTATATTTCACCCCCTAACTCCCTCTGTGGCTCTCTGAGATGTTGTTTCCTCTGCGAGGCCAGAAACCCTGTTGGGCCTGGCTGGCTAGGCTGCTGCCCCCACAAAACCCTCAGACCCCCTCAGATTCCCAGGCTGGGAATGGGAGACAGGTGGCAGACCCCAGGGCAGACCCTAAGATGAAGTTGGAGGGAGGTCCCCTTGGAGATCTTCCTCTGGGCTTTCTCCCTCCCTCCCTCATTATCTGTCTGAAGCATTCTTTCTCCTCCTGTCTCTCTTCTTCCCTCTCTTTCTCAGTCTCTCCCTTCCCCCATCTCTATCTCCCTTTCTCCCTCTCCCCAAGTGTCTGTCTCTCTCTCTCCCTTTTATCTCTCCCTCCCCACAAGCCTCCTCTTGTCACCCTAAGTCTCTCTCTCCTCCCAAGTCCCCCATCTCTATCTCTCCCTCCCTCTGTCTCTACCTCTGACTTTTCCGGTTCTCTTCCTCCCACTCTGTCTCTCTCTCCTCTCTCTAACTATCTCCTCCTAAAACACCCCCTACACACACACAGCCTGATTCACTTCCCAAAAGCAATGTGTGGTGCACACCATTATCCCCACAGCTTGCACACACACACACACACACACACTCACACCCTGTGGACACTGCCTCTGACTCACCCTCAGCCCATCCACCTATGAGGAATGGCAGCCACTTAGACCGAAAGGACAGGGCCCTCCACACAGAGGCCCTGCCTAAACTGCTGCTGGTGTACCTGTTGCAGCCAGCCATGGTGACACCTTGGGTCCACATGGGACCCTTGCTAACACACATGCGCACACGCTGCCGGGAATTTCAACACCTGCCCCATGAAATGAATGGTCACTAGGTGCTTTCTGCTTCATCCATCCATCCAGGCCTTACAACGGCCCAGGAATGCTGTTAAGGTCTCCATGTCTCATACGGTGAAACCGAGGGGTGCTGTGCCAGGGTCATCATAAACTGGTAACTGGTCAAGTCACAATTTAAATCCAGATGGTCCAACTGTAAAACTACCGCACTTAATATTTATTTTCTTATCTGCTTGCAGTCATATTCATGCATATGCATCTACACACACACACACACACACACACACCACACACGACTGCTCAGGCCTTTGCAAGGGTGTCTGCTGGGTAAGCCCCAGACTCAGCAAACACCTGGATCAACCAGATGGATAGAGAGAGCAGGGATAGTGGCTCACTCTTCCTGCTGGACATGAGGTAGCTTCCCGGGCTCTGGGAGTTCCCTCTGCCTTTCCAATGCCCACAAGCTCCTCATTCAGAATTACACTGGCTCAGGTGGGATCTAGTGAGCAGTCTTTGGGGGCGTACCTTTGAAGGGGATAATGAGGCCACCAGCCGCGTCCTTCTCTTCCTCTCCTTTTTTCCTGTTCCTACCCCAAAGCAACAAATCATGGACTAAAATCTCCAAAACCGTGAGCTAAAAATAAATCTCACACACCTCTGTCTCTCTTTTCTCTCCCCACCCACCCCCTCTCTCTCTCTGTACCAGGGACTGAACTCAGGGGCACTCGACCACTGAGCCACATCCCCAGCCCTATTTTCTATTTTGTCTTTTATTTAGAGACAGGGTTTCTCTGAGTTGCTCAGGGCCTCACTAAGTTGCTGAGGCTGGCTTTGAACTTGCAATCCTCCTGTCTCAGCCTCCCAATCTTTTTTCTTTATAAGCTTGAAAAAGAGAAAAAAAAATATGCTGGCTCTACAGAGACCCCACTAGGAGGGAGGCCAGGATGCCAGCTGGGTCAGTAAGTCTCCTTTTAATGAAAATCATCACCACCTCTTGGCCCACCCAAGTGCTCTTTGGGGAGAAGCACTTCAACTGTGCCTGTGCCCCTGGGTGCCCTACCAAGTGCTCACCATGTTAGATTATCAATATTTTCCACCAGAGTGCAGGCTCAACAATTGACAGAGGGAATGACTACACATACTGTCAAATAAACCCGCTAGTGGCTCTATCATCTCTGTACCCTCATGGGTGGCTCCTGTGTCCTTTGTCCACTAAAGATGGCCTGGCTGGGAGTAAATGATCCAGGTAGGACAATTGCCAGAGGGCATTCATGGAAGGAGGGAGGGACACAAGTGATTGGGATTAATAGGGAGAAGAGCCCACAGCCATCCTAAGAAAATGGTACCCAGAGAAAAATGGTGACAATTTTATCCTGTACCCAGAACTTCACAGCCGCATTAACAAACACCCATAAATCCCCAAAGCCATAAAAGAAACACTGTCCAATTTGTATCCCAGGAAAAAAGCTAATTTCCCCATATCTAAAGAGCTCTTACAAATCAATAAGAAAAAATAGCCAAGAGGAAAAAAAATGAGCAGAGGTTATAAATAAAAAGAAAGGATATAGAAAGGATATTTTAAAAATTAAAAAGTGTCCACTCCTAACAGAAATGCAAATTAAAGCTATTCTGGGATGATTTTATTTATTTTTTTACTCATCAGGTGAGTGAAGGTTAGAAAGTTTGAAGACATGCCCAAGGCTTCCGTGAAGACACTCTGGGATGCAGAAATTCCAAATCCCCACACCCTTTGGCCAGCATTTTCTTCTAGGAGTATGTCCTCCAGATACTAGTTGGGAATGTGAAAAGTGACATGTTACAGTGAACAAGGCTGTTTGCTGAGGCTCTCTTTAACAGCAACAGACTGGAAACACCCTAAATGCCTTCAGATGGGCGGGAGCAGGGTGTTCGGCTAGGTCATGGCCCATTCAGGCCTAGAGAGTTGAGTTAATTTGAATCCATCTCCAAGATCATCCTTGGGGGGAAAAAGGTAAGTGGGAGACCAATGTTGTATGGCACATTTTTTTAATTCCAAAAGAAAAGATGGAGAAAGAACATTTTATCTGCTGTGTGTGCGTAGACTGATCTCTGGGAGCACACTCCAAGAAACAAGGAGCCTCCT